TGAACACTCAAAGCAAAACATTCAAGTGGCAAAGTTAGAAATCATTGCCGAAAGCTTTGTTTGTACACAACAGTCCATTTGAACTTGCAAGTGTGTGATTCACATTTTCAAAGCATCAAGAAAGCATCTGGATGGGGATTTTTGCAAGATGATATTCTCCAAATCCTATAGGAATTTTTAGGTATAAAGAAGGAAATTGTGTATTATGACAGCTTCCTTCTTTTGTTAAGCATTTATTTAATACCAAGTTCTGGGACTTGAAGTTAACTGTGAATAGCCATGAGTATGGCTGTGCCTCAGGTTTTCTGGGTTGGGATTTCCATTCTAAAGGGTGGTAATATAGAAAATTAATCAGTTGTTTCTTCTTGGGCTGTTCAAGTAAAACTGTTTGCCTGAAATTACACACTTGTGAACCATTTTTTTTTTCAAAGCTTATTTTCCATTTTTTTCAAAGCTTGTTTTGAGTTTTACCTGCTTACAGCTAAGTTAGGAAATTCGCAGAACTTCCCTCCCATACTAGGAAACCAGCCTCACTCATCAAGAAAGAAATCTTTAGTTCCATCACCTAACAATTAGCGACAGGAATACAGGCACGTGATTCCTAAACGTATTTATAGTTTTGCCCCTCAGTTCAGCTGAGAAGTTGGACATATTTATGACATATTTGTCCATGATACATGTCCAAAATCCAGAATCCCGTGCTGGGAAAAAAAAATCTCCAGGGGTCTGCAGGTGCTTCTCATGTTCTGCAAATGGCCGAATGCAGCGGCGGCAGAAGGTCAAGTGCGATGGCAGGAGGCGTTTCACAGGCAGAGGGGATGTGTTCCCATGATGCAAACCCCTTGCATCTTGACCGGGGCCATCAGCTTCACCAAGCCTTCCCTGTGTACCTGGAGAACAAGTATGTGATAGGGAGGAGATAGACAAGGGTTCCCATTTTCTTTGTTGTAACTGGAGCTTCACGAAAGAATTAGGAGAGGGAGAGGAGGGGAGAAAGAAAGGGAAAAGATACTGTTTCCTGATGGTTTTTAAAGATCAGCAAGAATGAAAAATCTGTAACTTCTGTTCTTCATCTGCCTCGGAGTTGCCTGGGTTCGTTGTATGACTGAATAAAGGAACACAGTCCACGGTGCAGACTTCAGGATTCCAGTGTTTCCAGGTCTGAAGACAGGTGACTCAGTGCTGGTACCAAGTGTTCCCTTCCAGCCTGGGCAGGGTCTGGGCAACATCTGGAATCAAACCCATCAGCACTACTGCACCGGAACATGAATGTTCACACGCGTGAGACAGAGAGGGGTCAGACGTCACCTCCAGTAAAAGCCTAGGTTTGCTGCTAAATGTTTTATGAAAAGTGTGTTACTTTGACCTTTGTAGACCTTAGAATTGCATATTAGGGATTTTAGTGATGAGCTACCTCTCTGGGAACTTGACCTTCATGAGATGCTAATAAAATACGGAGGAGTCATCCGGATGCCAGCTTATTATTACCACTCCCGAGTGTTCAGTTATTCCCATATGTTCCAATTGCATAGCTCTGTGGGTGTACTGCTCTGTTGTTGTTGTTCCAGAGCGGGTCACAGCCCCTGGTTTCAAGAAGTCTCCCTCACTAAGCCTATGAGGAGACTCCAGAACCTTCAGAGAAGGTCTGCAGGTTGCGCTCCAGATTCCGCAAACCTTTGCATTTGCCCCATTCGTATGCCTTTGAGGGTTCCCCTACATATTACAGATGTCTCGTTGACCCCAAAGGAATTTCCTGGAAAAGTTACTTCCTAGTTTTATAAAGGAAAGTGAAACACATTGCAGATTTTGACCCACTTGCCTTCAAGTTAAATTTTTATTTCTTTACTTTGTGATAACTTGGTTAAGATTGGTGTTGTTGTTCATTGTGGAGAATCCTTTGTTTGATGTATTGCTATGAATCTTCATTTGTCCCCAGTAGACTGTTCTTCTCATGTCTTATGAGCAGGACAGGCAATAGAAGACAGGGACATCACCTCAAAACCTCCCCTAAATCAAAAATCCACACTGCACTGACATGGTAACTTTTTTTTTTTTGAGTGGGGGGAAGAAGAGGGCAACATTCATAGCTACTTAGACGTTTTGAATAAAATTGGATTAATATTAAAAATAAGACTTGACCTTTATTCTCAGCTTAGTAGCTGGCTCTCCAAGAGACCTTTATTTATTTATTTTTTAAACATGGACTAAGACAATAGAGTAAACTGTTTTAAAGTGTTCTGTAAGTTGGCATCTATCAGGTGCGCTGAACTCTGGGGAGAGCATCAGGTTGGGAGACCTTGAGAAAGGAAACTCAGGACCTCTGGGACATTAGTTAGGCCTCAGCCTTGCACGTCTTTGGGGGTAGAATGACAGCGTCTCCCCTTAGGGCAGCTTTGTGATTGCAGCTACAGAGCCTGGCAGGGCTGGACACCTCTAAGTTACCACAGATGTTTACAAACATCAGAAAGGCAAATAGAACATTGCTATGTGCTGGCCCTTTGGGAAGGATTAAGAGCCATAGATCCCTTCCAGAAACTAATGGCTTTGGATGGGCTTCACGCCTTGGTGAGTTCTAATTGTGTTTTCCTGTGTAGCCTTGCCCAGGAGGAGAACTAGACAACCCAGCAAGGGAGTCAGACCTGGGGCTGTCATCAGGGGCACTTGTTTGCCAACAAACACGTGTTGGGTGGGTAAAACCATCCCTTCCTGGAGCGCCTTCCTTCCCCAAATAGACTTCAGATGTGATGAATGGGAGTAGCTCAAGTTTCAGCTCCATAGAGGAGCTGCTAATTGCCTTTCGCATAGTTTCAGCCAATGAAAGTCTGTCTGATAAAAGCACCTTTGGGTCCTGCAGACATCGCTCTAGGTGCCCTTGGACCTGTGAATCAGCTCCCTGTTCTCAGGTAACTGAACAGGGAGAAGAGACCCAAAAATTCAGCACCGTGGGCTCTCAGGCATTTGGTGAACTGAGTGTTTGCCTGAGCTATGTCTTGAGCGCATTGGGACTAAAAATCCCCAATCGTACTCGGGAATTGGATCTTCCTAAACACGAGGAGCCCACCTGTTTGAAAACCTCCAGTGGCTCTCCTGTTGCCTCCTGGATCAGCGGGAACCCTGTTAGCCTGACATCAGTGGTGCTCATAACTCTGTGCCTCCCCCTCCTTTTCCTTCGGTGTTACCCTTGCATACCGTGCAGCCCTGTTGGTCTCTGCAGTTCTCCTTATGTGGCCCCCGTGGCTTGGCTTTCTTCCACTGCGGAGGGGGGCAATGTCCCTGGCCTTTTCTTCATTCAGGGTCCCCTCAAGAACCTGTTCTTGTACCCGAGTTCCCAGAGCCCTTTTCTTTCCTCTGAGCCTTAGAATTTGTGGTTTGGACTGACATGATCAAACACTGCCCACAAGGTCAAGTACTTTTCCTGCCCCCTAGGCCAACTCTGAACACCTTTTGCAGAAGGGCTAGGTCTCCTCATTGTTTCATATCCCTTACAGCACTTTGTGTAGGAGCAGATGTTCCATACCTTCATCTTATTGATTATTAACTAGCAAACCTTCACCTTATACCTTAGGTTCAGGTAGTGCAAGTACCCAGATGTAGTCTTTCAAACGGTTGTTAAGTTGCATCTCCTCCTGGTTGGTTGTTGGAAGCCAGAGTTCACAAATAGCACTGTCGTCATCGATCAGTGCATTGAAAGAAGCCCTTTCTGGCTTCAGTGATAATGTCACCAAACATCCATGCCTTTCTTTGTCACCACATATGTGCCATGAGATGGAGCTCCCCATTGGCACTTGGTATCCAGCGTGGGGCTGCTGATTGTTGGTGGTAGCAGTGTTTTTCTGCCGAGGACACACACAACCATTCGTCTTCCAGATAGCAGCGTGGGCGTTAGGGTGTTCGCCATCCAAATGCTTCAGGAGCTCCCATTGGTGTCTACAGTGTTTCTTCCTTCCTTCGTACTTATTTATTTGCTGAACTCCTGCGCCATTGCTGCTACGGCTCAGCAACCTGCTGGCCACTGTTTGCCTTGCTTTGTGTGCGCAACACAGAAGCTGCTACAGTGGTGCAGGGTGGAAGCGCTAGGCCAGATGCAGGTCTCCCTGTGATGAGCTTTTGCAACCCCAGTTGAGGCACCTGGGGCTCCTTGGTGGAGCAGAGTAGGAAAGCAGTCTCTCATTACCAGAACCCTCCCAGAGTGGGTGCTGCTGTTGGCGTAGGAGGTCGTGAGTGGGTGCAGATACCACAGCCAGCCCGGCTCAGGTGAGATGTTGTGTCTGCTGAGCGGCTAGAGAGCAGTTGAGTGGCTGGAGGGGTTACACTGGGGGCGATCACCCCAGAGCATGTAGGGCTACAGGAAAAAAAAAACATTTCTGCTTCCAGGACCAGATGGCCTGAAACCTCCCAGCTGCCCCAGTAAATCCACTTCACACTTTCAAAGCACTTTCTGGGCCTTGTCACAAGCAAAAGTTGTTTATTTAATTGCACTGTAGCGGACAGTTTCCAGCGGGTGGCCCTTCCAGGCCAAAAAAAAACAAAAAAACAAAAAAACAAAAAACAAAACAAAACAAAACAAAAAAAAAAAAACAAAAAACTAGCACCGTCCATGAGGGGAAGCAGGCGGCTCTTGCGGAGAAAGCAGTGACGTCACCCGTCTTGGGAGTCCCCCAGGGGACCCTTCTCCTGCCTGATCCCTGTGGAGGGGGCTACTCAAGGGCCTGCAGTCCACCCCCTCACTGAGGGCAGGGCTTGGAGGCACCCTGGCCATCTGTGAGCCTGTGCAGGGGTTCAGGACTGGGAGAGGACGCTGGCTGAGTCATAGGTTCTTTCTTTTCTATATTAAGTAAATAAATAAAAAGAAAGTGCCCCCCCATCCGCTTCCTCCCACGGCTTTCCATTAAAAGAGACCAGATGCGGGGTCTCCCAGACAGGCGGCCGAGTCAGATCCTTTCTAACCGTGGGCTTCGTCTCTCGGAGGCTGAGTGTGTTTCTTGGCTCTCTCTCTGCAGCAATGAAGTCGTACGGAATGACTTGAAGAAGCTGCCAGCCCTTCCCACCCAAGCGCTGAAGGAGCACCCTTCCCTGGCCTACTGGTAAGACCCCACGGGCTGCATGGGGCCCAGACAGCTGCCATGTGGCTGCCTGGGCACAAGGTTGTACCCTGACTTGGGACTGTTTGCTGGATTTATTTAAATGACATGTTGGGTGTGGGACCACTCCTTTTCCTTTTGTTCTTTCAAACCCTCTCAGGTTTCACTTGGGACGGTTTTACCTCCTTTCATGTGCTGATCAAGTTTCATTTTGGAACCCCTGTCACTGGGTGACGGGCCCTGAGGGGTTCCAAGGCATGGGAGAACTGCAGGGTTTCAGCTTTGCCGAGGAGAGAGGCTGATCCTTTCCTTTGCCCTCAGTGGGAGCCATCTCCTGACGTAGCTGTCATTATGCCACAGTTCATGTGTCCGGGCCCTAAATAACCGATTTGGAAAGGATTCCGGCATTTGGAGGGTTCCCAGATTGCGGTTTGTGCCACAAGTGAGCAGGGCTGCATTCCTGGGGAGAGATGAAATCTTGCTGGGCTCATAAGCCTGGACCACTGCCCTCTGTCAGGGACAGCCTCGCTTCCCGGATGCTCCTTCCGGACTCCGAAACGGACCCCAGTGTAAGAACAGCCCAAAGCAGGAAATGCAGAGCGAATCTCTGCTGAGAAATATGTCGCGCGACTCCCCCAGGTACTCCTGTGCACGCCACCTTTCGTCTCATCTGGACACTTTCCTGGACAGTGCACTGGTTGTGTGGTCACTCAGGTAGCTTGAAGCAAGTGCTTTGGCTCAGATGGCAGGTGTCTTGCTGCAGAAGCCGTTAGCAGGGCTAGACTCCGCTTCACAAATCATTCCTCTCTGAGAGACCACAGCCCCCCAGGGAAGCTGGACCTGCGTCCCCGGGCTGTGAGCTGGCGTCGTTAGGTTCAGCTCTCTGAGCTGCTGTGTTGCTGCTCTTTCTCTGGTAGCATAGATGCGGACAGGTAATGCCTTCCTGTCGTCGTAGTCTGACCTCTAAGAGCAAAATCCGTCCAACCTGCAGCGATTTTCGCCCACATCAGCTTCTGAGCGTCCAGTCTTGGCTGTCTGCACTCAAGAACACCAACAGCTCATCTGCCCGTTTCCTTGCTCGTGCAACCCTGGTACTCCTCCTCCTCACCGAGTCCCTAAGCTCCCTGGGCCTTACCTTCTGTATCCCCCAGCTGTTCCTATTCGGGATAGCACTGGTGATGGAGGAAAGGATGGAAGAAGGTACCAGGAGACCAGCGTTCCTATTTGGAGGGCTGCAGTCGCTGTTCTAGATTGTCATACCAGTGCGTTGTCTGGAGTCAGAGATGCCTTTGGCCTAATCCATCCCTCGGTCATCTCAGCATTCATTTAGTCTTCAACATTGGGCGCCCTGTACACATTTCACTTAGGAATTCCTCTCTCTCTCCTCTCTGTCTGCTATTTTCTATGACTGTCCCCACCATCTGTTCTGTGCTCACATATTTTTTTAAAAGATTTATTTGTTTTATTTGAAAGCTAGAGTTACGCAGAGAGAGAAGGAGAGAGGTCTTCCATCTGCTGGTTCACTCCTCAGTTGGCCGCAACAGCCAGAGCTGCACCGATCTGAAGCCAGGAACCAGGAGCCAGGAGCTTCTTCTGGGACTCCCATGCGGCTGCAGGGGCCCGGGGACTTGTGCCACGTTCCACTGCTTTTCCAGGCCATAGCAGAGAGCTGGATTGGAAGTGGAGCAGCCGGAATTAGATCATCATCAACAGCAAATGGGTAGCATGGATCATCCTGATGATGCATTGCTTAAAGAGTGAGAGAGCCAGAGAGCGTAAGCCTTTTCATGTCATTGCATCATGGTTGTGACTGGCTGTAGTATTTTAATCTATAAAGACCTAACAGGGCCAGCGCTGTGGCACAGCGGTTGGAGCCACCGCCTGCAGTGCCGGCATCCCATGTGGGTGCTGGTTCAAGTTCTGGCTGCTCCACTTCTGATCCAGTTCTCTGCTATGGCCTGGGAAACAACAGAAGACAGCCCAGAGCCGGCGCTTTGGCGTAACGAGTAAAGCCGCCATCTGCAGTGCCGGCATCCCATGTGGGTGCCAGTTCAAGACCCGGCTGCTCCACTTTCAATCTAGCTCTCTGCTATGGCCTGGGAAGGCAGTGGAAGATGGCCCAAGTCCTTGGGCCCTTGCACCTGTGTGGGAGACCCAGAGGAAGCTCCTGGCTCCTGGCTTCGGATTGGTGCAGCTCCAGCCATGTGGCCAATTGGGGAGTGAACCAGCAGATGAAAGACCTCTCTCTCTCTCTCTCTCTCTCTGCCTCTCCTTCTCTCTCTGTGTAACTCTTTCAAATAAATAAATAAATCTTAAAAAATAAATTATAAAAAAGACCTAACAAGAGAAATAAATGCTATTCATGCTCCATATAGACAGATCAGAGTGATAGAGCTAGAGCTGGTAGGCTGGGCTTGTTTGGGTTTTCCTTTTGATCTCAGCATCACCAGTCACCTCCTGACCCCGCACTTGGTGGAAGACATGATTTTGCCTCCTTCATCCCAAGCTGAGTCAAGTTTCTCGCAGTATCATGTTGCCCTCATCATTCCTGGGCTAACGATACATTTTCACCATGTTTTATGGCTCTGCTGCTACCCCTTGGCATTCATGGATGTAATAGGCAACCCCTAGGCCAAAGCCATGGGGGGATGGGGGGAGGCCTGTCCACACCTCAAGGAAAGCGGTATAGCCCAGTTTCTGAACTGTGGGCTGCCTCCATTTCTCCACCTGTAAAATGGGGTCAACCACACCAGCAACTTCAGAGTGTGATTAAGGCAGAAATGTGCCCAGGCTGCCCTCTGCTCTGCCCTGGGATGGTTTGGCCGGCCACTGCCACCATGGAGCCAGGTGATCTCTGGTTGCTTGAGGACTTGGATTTTGCCATCTGATTCTGGTAGCTGGTTGTGCTTACTTCCCCACATGGACTTCTCAATCTCTCTCAGGTTTATATTAACCAGGCACGGATTCCAGCACTTTCCATCCCCAGCCCCTGACTACTCACTCAGAATAGGGAGGCTCTGAGCTCTCAGTGAGGTCACCGCCTGCCCTCCCCTGCCGGGGCCAGCACTCGGGGGACAGGGAGAGTGAGGAGGGAGACAGAGGGAATCTAACCATTGTGTCACTCAGGAGCCCCTCCCCACCACCACGGATCCATTTCTTTCTCGTTGTTTCTGTAAGCAGCTGGCCCCCGAGCCTGACCTCTCACCTTCTTCCCCAGATGAGCAGGGCCAGATGAGGAGGACGCAGGCCCTCTGTGGGGAAAACAGACTCTGGTGTTTTTTCTTTAGTCGATCTCTAGCTAACGGGATTCTGCTCCGGCTGAGTTTGGAAATGTCACGTTAGGCAGTGGCCCTTGACTGCCTAGAGCTCCCGTGAGGCCGCTCAGCCTCAGAACCATCTTGTTATTCAGCCGTGGACTTGGGGACTCTGCTAACAGAATCCTTCTCCTCTGATTCTAGCGAAGACAGAGTCATCGAGCACTACAAGAAGCTGAACGGGCAGACGAGAGGCCAAGCAATTGTCAAGTAAGTGGCCCTCCCGGCCCTCCCGAGGACTGCCTGTCCCTGTGCAGGCATAGCACACGCCAAGACGGTTCTGTTCCAACCAGAAAACCGTGTCTCGGGGGCATGGGGGGATCTTTCACTTTGATTGTCAAGTTAACTAATCACTCCGAGAACCCCACCACCCACACCAAAGGCCACGTGCACGATGCTGATTCTGCTGAATAACCAGCCTGTGTGTGTGTGTGTGTGTCTGTCTGTCTGTCTGTCTTCTGTTGTCTCCTCAGCTACATGAGCATCGTGGAGTCTCTGCCAACCTACGGGGTGCACTATTACGCAGTGAAGGTAAGTCCCTCGTCCTGGGGCGAGTCACCAGCCCTGCACTAAGCAGACAAAGGAAGACGGCTCATGCTTGTTTCCAGCAGTCTTACTGGGAGTTTGGCTTGGTTGCAGTTGAGGGGAAGTGGTAGGACTTGGTCAGGAAGATTGTGTGCTGGAGGGGATTGGGCAGTGGGTTTTACTCCACTTATATTATATTATTATATTATATTATATTATATTATATATTACCTCCTAAGAGGTAATATAAGTATTCTGCAATACACATATGGGTACTTCAAGCAGTTTGTGGAAAAATTGAATTAAAAGACCCATTTATTTTGGGGGCAAAAATATTTGGGAACCCATGCATAGTTTTTTTTTTTTTCCATAATACACGTTTTCCATGAACTTTTTGAACAACCCTGCATGTATACATAGATTTCAAAAACTCCATTGTGATAGCAAGTCCAGTGTGACACTGACCCCATTCTAAAGTATCTCTAATTTTTTATGTAATGTCTCGGGCTAGGATCTTGCCTTTGGTTTCTTTTTTTTTTTAATTCATTTTTTAAATTTGTACATCTTTGTGGGATGTAGTGCAATACTTAAACCAGTCTTCACCAGTCGTACCCAGCAGTCAGCCTTTTCATGTCCTTATCTTTCCTTTGTGTGTGGAGCCCGCCAGCTCCTGCCTTCCAGTTGTCTATACAGGCTGCGATACACCCTTGTGAACTGTATCACCCCACTGTGCTCCGGAACACTCACACCTGTTAACTTCTCCAGACTGCACTTTGCTACCATTACAGGATCTTGCCTTGGAAGATAAGGCGTCACCAGTGAACACAGGAGAAGGAGAAGTTCCCTTTCTTCTCCTTGAACTAAGTTATTGCCCAAAGTCTAATCAAAAAGAGCGGAGAATCTAAACTTAAGATACTTCCATCAGTCAACATGAAGTTTTCTTGCCCCTCTGCTTATGTCTGTGTCCATGTTTCCACCCAACTATATTTTTAATTCCTTTAGACGAAAGTGTGCACTGTGGGGCAGGCATTTTAGTGCAGTGGGTTAAGCCTCAGCTTGGTACGCCCACACCCCATATAGGAGAGCTGGTCCCAGGCCTGGCTACTCCACTTCCAGTCCAACTCCCTGCTGATGCACTTGTAAGGCAGCATCTACTTTTTTGTTTGTTTGTTTTTTGTTTTTGGTGGGAGGGTCTGTTACCCACATGGGAGACCTGTATTGTGTCCCAGGCTTTGGCCTGGCCCAGCCCCAGCTTACTTTGAAATAGCTCATATCCCACAAATATCTGAAAACCCTCATGCTGGTTTTGACTTCCCAGAACACCCACGATGGGGGTGTATCAGGTTATTGACATGAGTGGTAATGAGGATGAAGCTAGGGAAAGGTTGTTGGATGGGGTCTCCACGAGGTCCCAGCATCTGGGAGCTGTAATTCACCACCCTGACAGCAAGTCTGTGTTAAAGGCATAGACAGAGGGCTTGGTGTTTCTGACTCAGTCCCAAGGATGGTGCAGCCTCTCTTGTGCTGTCTTGTCCAAGAGCACAGACCTAAAGTCCTGGTGAGAAGGAGACCTGAGTGACCCCCTTCCTGCCCTGCTGCCCTTGGCTCCTTGGGCTGGGAGGGTCCTGAGTCAAGTTGGGCTGTGTCTGCTTGGACTTTTTTGTCTTTAAATTGAGAAGGAGGCACCTTGCATAGCCTCCAGGGTTCCCCCTGGCTGACAGCCGATGACAGTTTTCATCAGTGGTTCAATTTATTAGAACGTTCACCATCTCAGATTGTCCTGTGTGGTGAGTGAGTAGGAGGCCAGCCTGGAAAACCTGAAGTCTTGTAAGAAGAACAAAACCAATCCGGGCATTCGCTCCTTATTTATAAAGGCACAGGGCACCGTGGCCGAGCCGCTGGTTAGGATCAGAGCCGAGCCCTGAGCAGGGCACAGTCTTTGTGTGCCACCAAGCACCATTGGATGATGGGCACATCTGTGAAGGTACAAAGCAGATGGCTGGGGCCAACACTGTAGCCCATTTGTTTCAGCTGCCACCCGCGATGCTGGCATCCTGTACTGGAGTGCCAGTTCCCAGCTGCTCCGTTTCCAATCCAGCTCCCTGCCAATGGGCCTGCAAAAGCAGCAGAAGATGGCCCAAGTGTTTGTGCTCCTGCCACGCAGGTGGGAGACACAGGTGGAGTTCCTGCTCCTAACTTCAGCCTGGCCCAGCCCTGGTCATGGCAGCCGTGCAGGGAGTGATCCAGTAGATGGAGGATCTTTCTCTGTCTCTCTTTCTCTCTCTCGGTCACTCTTTCAAATCAGTTATTAACAAGACAGGTGGGCTCCGTGCCCTCCATGGAAGCTTTGTGTGCCCATGTCTTCAGCTAAGCTGGGACATCTCTGTAGCCCCCTGTTTACCCTCTCTCCTTTTGCTATCCTAGGACAAGCAGGGGATACCATGGTGGCTGGGACTGAGCTACAAAGGAATCTTCCAGTATGACTACCACGACAAAGTGAAGCCAAGGAAGGTAAGGGCGGTCTCCTTTGTGGAGTTACTGGCTCCTGGGCCAAGAGAGAGAGAGGGAAGCAGGCATAGAAATGAGTAACAATGCCAGCCAGTGTGCGCGGCCCTGGGGCATGCTGGGTCCCTGCTCATTTTAGTGTATACAAATTACTCCACAGTAATCCCTTCTGAGTTCCCTGGATAAATATTTTTCCCCCCTGTCTCTAAGGAAACCTCAGCTGTTAGAATTAGTTAAGGTAAGATGCCTGGTTCCATTCTTCCCGGAGCTGATGGGAAATGGCTTCCGGGGACTGGCTCCTTGGAGGGGGGCTGTGTGCCTTTGGGGGAGCGAGGTGCCTATTCGTTGCATCCTGAGGCCAATCTGAGGTCTCGGAGAGGTGGAGGGAGGTGGGCAAAGGGAGGTAAAAAATAAAGAATGAGAGGAGTTCCTGGAAATCCAGCCAATATGGAAATAGCAGTTTCAGGCAACACCAAACAGGATGTTAGAAGGGGGCAGAGGGCTGGAATTTTCTATTTACGCACACCGTTCAGACCAAAACAAGCTGAAAACTTATACTGGAAGAGAAAAATACGTTGGAGGGGAGCGGTGTCACTCCAGTTCTTTGCAGAGCTGAACCAGGGAGGTGACGTGCAGGACAACCCTTGAAAGATGTATTAAAAATCTACCAAAAGCCACACTTGGCAAAGCATAGTGGTCCATTGTGTCTTTCCAGCTCACTTTCCAAGCTGCTTCATCCACAAGTAGGGTTGAAACCCACACTGCCCATCTAAGCTTATCCCAGTCTATCTGCTCTTCGCCAACCTCTTCCATAAAGTGTTAATGGCCAGCGGCCCTGCGTTAGGGAGAATTTTCAGTGCACTGATCAGGAAATCGGTCAAGTTCCAAGAAACAATCTTGAGGGAAAGTCGAAGGCAGTACCTGGTTGTTGATGGGGAGGGAGGCCGGGCTGTGTTTCGTGGCCTCTCCTGGGCTTCTCGCTTCCAGTCACCTGCTGCGAGAAATGAGCTGGACCCGCCGTTCTTTCTCCCGTCTTCCTTGGCCTCGGTCGCCGGTCTAGGCCACTTCCTAGCTTTATCTACTTGTTTCTCTCAGGCCCTTTCCCACACGTCCTTTCCAAGTTTCTGTGCCTTTTCTTCCCAAGTTCTTTCTTCGCTGCCACCTTTTTTGTATCTCGACTCTCCCCTCTTTTCACCCTGCCCAGCTTGTTTTTTCTGCTTGCAAAAGCCAACAGTGCACCCAGAGCCTTTGAAAGAATCCCAGTTTTTGCAAAATACTCGCCTTCAGCTCTCTTGCCAACATGGGGGGAGGATCAAGGCCAGGCTGGATCATTGCGATCTACAGCGGAGCTCATTAAAATCCAGCGATTGAAATCTCTCTCTCCCTCTCTCTCTAAGCTTTTTGAAAAAAACGTGCTAACCAGTATTTACTTGTTCCGTTTGAGGTCTGACTGTGTTAAGCTGCCTTCATTTTCTCTAATCAGGGTTCTAAAGAAGATTGAAAAGGTGATGAGATGCCACTTGATACATGTAAAACACAACCCATGACACATAGCAAAGGCTGGATAAATTGCAATTGTTCTTGCAAGACTTGAAAAAAAAAAAAGGCTTCAAGATAAGGAAAAGTAAGAAGCCAAAGGTGGGAATAATCAGCCATCGAGTAAGAGAATTTAGAGTAATTGGTGGAGCTTTTTCAGTCTGTGAATTAAAGATGTTAAAAGATCAAAATATTTTTTCCCAGGGCATAAGCGCTAACTGCAACGGAGCTATTATTTAAAATAACATATGCTTATTGGCCTTTGAGGCAGAGATTGGAATTTGCAAACCTGTTAGTAATTGAAGGACAGGCAAACCCTTAGAGCCTTCATTCATTCATTCATTCATTCAATTAAAAAGTGGTTATTCCATGCCTGCTAGGTGCCACGCGTGCCTCTGGGCATGGTGATAAGACACACATCACATCCTCCAGACCCGCCCAGGATGTCAGAGAGCGTGTGTGGTCACTGAGGCAGTTGCTAAGTGCTGTTATGGGGCCTTGTGAGGGCTGGTGCTAAATCAAAGGAGAGTGTTATCAACCGGGCATAGGGGAGGAGTCTGCAGAGGAAGAGTGAGTGGAGTCTTAGGTTTGCAAATAGGCGTGAACAAGGTCGGAGGCCCACAGGAGAGAGACAGGCACGCATGAAAGCACAGTGGTGGGGCGGCGCGTGTACGGGGAAGCACACAGCACCACTTAGGGCTGGAACCCAGGGTGAGAGCAGAGCAGTTGGAGAAGGGGCTGTGTGGCCCGGAGCTAGTGGCACCCGAGGGAGACCGGAAGCTTGCTGAGAGAGTTGTCACCCTCTGTAGGCAGTGGGCGCCGCAGGCTGGCTGGGGCAGAGGAGTATCAGATTGGCATTGTTAGAGAAGCAGCCCTCTGGCATCTGTGTGGAGAGTGGATGGGGGGTGGGGGTACACAGGACAAGACTTGGAAACCGGGGCGTTATTACAGTGGTGTCGGCAGCCTGGCGGGTTGGCTGTTGGTGACAGGACTGGAGAGGACACGCGTGATGGATCAGCTGTGTGGGGGAGGAGGGAGGCAGGAGGGAAAGAGGAGGCACCCAGTCTTCTCCCTCAGCCGGGGTGTGGGATCTGAAAGAAGGGGAAGTCGGGACGGGCCCGCTGAGTGCACTGCAGGGCACGTAGGGTGGGAGGGTTGATGGGGCGTCCAGGTAGTTGCGGCAAGTAGGCAGCTGGGGATCGGGTCGGAGCTCGAGGTTACGAATTTCCAAAGAGTCGTGGAACCGGAGACAGAACAGGAAAGGGCAAAGCAGAGTCAGGGGACACCCCAGAAAAGGCACCGTTACGTGAGTGCAAATTTCAGTTCCCTCTGTGACCATCACTGGGAGACGCAGGGGCAGGCTCCAAGTGGCTTTGCCCCTAAAATTTACACAACAGGGGTGTGAGGGGTGGGTGGGAAGGGCTCTCTTTAAGAAATGCATGTGCGGCCAGCACCGTGGCTCACTAGGCTAATCCTCCTCCTGCAGCGCTGGCACCCCAGGTTCTAGTCCCAGTCGGGGCGCCAGGTTCTGTCCCGGTTGCTCCTCTTCCAGTCCAGCTCTCTGCTGTGGCCCGGGAGTGCAGTGGAGGATGGCCCAGGTCCTTGGGCCCTGCACCCGCATGGGAGACCAGGATAAGTACCTGGCTCCTGGCTTTGGATCGGCGCAGTGCCCCGGCTGCAACGCACTGGCCACACCAGCCATAGCGGCCACTTGGGGGGTGAACCAACGGAAAAAGGAAGACCTTTCTGTCTGTCTGTCTCTCTCTCACTGTCTAACTCTTCCTGTCCAAAAAAAAAAAGAAAGAAAGAAATGCATGTGCACCCTGAATGTAGAATAAAGCCCAAGCCGTTGTAAGCCACGACTGGCAGGAAAGCCACAGCCATATTAGCTGCAAAGGGACATTCATTTCTGCTGAGACGCGGCCTGGACTTGAAGGCAGCACCAAAGACTTAGCTGAAACAGAGTCCTGAGACTCCCAGCTACACAGGAGCGTGCCTGCTCCCTCCCATACCCAACGTGGCCACTCTGATGAGACTGCTGTATTTGTCGCGTGAGAGTTTGTGGGCATCTGACCAGAGCACAGCCTGGCTGCACTGCCCCAAGTCTAACAAGGTGCATACACGTGGGGATGCATGGCAACACAGATTCGTGGGCAGGGTGCCCAGGGTCCGTCTTCAGTGCCTCTGGGTCAGTGGTTCTTTACCTCTGCCATGCATCAGAAATGTACAGGGACCGGCATGACTGGATGCCCCAGCCTCCTCCAGCTTGCTCACCCTGGGTTTGACGTAGCCACTGAGCAGGTGTAGAGCTTGTCAGTGGTTCGAGCGTGCAGCTAGAGGCCCATCCACAGCCATCTGTGGTTCCTTTGCAATTTCAGACTCACCATAGTCTGCTGGGCTCAGCAGGTGTGGCTAGCAGGGCACACCCGGAGCTGGGGAGTTGCCAAGCACAGAATTGGAGGCTGGAAGGGGTGCCCTCCAGGTGGCGCCACTCCCTCCTGGCACCGGGGCCAGCTGCCCGCCCGCCTTGAGCCTCCAGGGATAATCGGGAAATAGCGGCACCCAGTTCTGTGCACCTGGAGGCCTGTGTGGCATGTGCAGCCTCGCAGCAGGCAGCGGCGCTCCCTGACTCTGACCCAGTTTTGGCGGCTCTATTGCACGGCGCCACAGTGATCAGAGCCAAGGCTCAAGTAGAGGCAGTGGCAGGGCTGAGACTCCTCCCTTCCCTGTGAGGAGCCCAGAAGTCTCCTCTCGTAGGCACAGCTCTAAAAGCAGCAGCGACCCAGTATTAGCACAACCTGGGAGCTCAAGTGGCACCTGAGAGAGTCCACGCAAGCGTTCCCACGGGGCCCACCAAGGGTGGGTAGCTGATGGCTGTCCAGAAACGGACAGCACAGTTTCCAGTTGGGATGCAGTTGTCCATTCTAGTCTCAAAGTCTCCCCTAAGTCGCCTCAGTTTCCCTCTGAAGCCTGGTGGCTCTGGGGGACATGGAGTAAAACTCAGGGTACCTCACAGGTGGAGCAGAGGGCAGAGACGTGCCCCCAGTGTCTGCTCCCTCAGCCTTCTAAACCAGCAGGCCCTGAAGCACAGCCTTGAAGCTGCTGAGATTTGTGTTTTTAAAAGAGCGGCTTTTTTTTTGTTTTGCCCTTGGAACACATATGTTGGAAATAGCTAGACATGTGGGGACAGCCCACAGCCTGACTTTTGGCTTTTGTGTGTGTTCTGAAGAGTTCAGAGATGCTAAACTTCTGAAGGTCAACTCCAATCCTATTTTGGTACAACATGTGCAGAATAGCCCTCAAAATGCCCTAGAAAAAAATAGGACTTTTAAAAAATTGAAATCTGTAATATACGCACATTCTCCCGGAACACTGATCCTTGCTTGCATATGGGAGTTCTTTGAAAAAGATAAGGAGAATGGGTATTGAACCCACTAGTTAAGAGACCTCATCACACGGCAAGGTACTTG